TAATGGCCTTTGTGTGTATATGCTCCTTGTTTTATGTCTGATATAATTTTGCCACTGGAATAGTCTGAAAATGGTTGCAGGCTGTATGTTCTTGAGCGTATATATGGATATACGTGTGCTTTCTTCTCACATTTTAGGAGTTTCACTGAAGTCAGCATATCTACTCATGTGTGCAGAATGTAACAGCTGTAAGATCAAGGCCTGTATTTTTAATTTTCTCATTAATTAGTTTCCCTGTTATCCTAGAAGGACCTTCATATCATTAGTATGATTACCGTGGCAATATTTTTGTGCTGTAAAAAAGATAATTCAAAACTGGCATCCTTTATCTGCCAGATCTTGGTTTGTATTTGCATTTGTCATAGAAGCGTGGCCCAGCTTGAAGAGAGATTCACAGGCCAGACCACAGGAGAGGTGCACAGTCACTGGCCGCCTGGAGAACCAGAGAATACACCCAGACTTGCATGGCAAGAGCCAGGCGGGGATGTAACAGGGTCAAACCTGGTGCTGGGGGATGTAGTACACAGATATGTGAGAGTGGCAAACAAGATGTGAGCCTGAGGCATTGGCCCTCCATCTCTTTTATTTCTACTCCAGGAAGGAGAGGGTTGTTTGAAGGTACCTTACTCTGACTGTTGACACACTATGGATGATATAAGTACAGCTTTCTCAGTAGTGAAAACAATTTTATTTTTAATAACATCTATGTTGGAGGAGTAGAAGTAGACTGGTTTGTACTGGCTACACAGAATTTCTTTCTTTAATTAAAAATGTTACCTGCAATTCTGTTTTCTTCTAGAAAAATGTCTTTTTGCACCAGTCTTTGAGACATTGACTTTAGCTTCAGATCTAAATACGTCACTGTGAAGAAAGGTACTGCTGAAGAGGAGTAGGTGTATGAGCGAACCTGGCATTTATTCAGCACTGAAGTGGGAAGAGTCAAAAGGCCAGCAAGCTATTAGTATTTTTGACTTGCCATGTTTGTCGCAAGAACAGTGAAAGATGTAAAAAGCCACGTGCTTCCAGGCTTTCAAAGAGAAAATGGGAAGAATACTAAAACGTGCTCTGGTGCTGCTGCTGAGAGTTTGTCCTCTGGACTTTCATAGGGATCTTGTCCCATCCCACTCCCATCTGACTGCCAGCTTATTATTTATCGTATCATCTGCTTCATTTTGGGGCTGCTACTGTAGCTGGCATATCACTGTGCATGCTAAATACCTCTCCTTAGCGTAAAGTGGGCAGGCACTCACAGAGTATCTGGTTTTCTAGTTTAGTTAGAAGTGCCGCTTGCTCTGCCAGCTTGCCGAGTGTGCTGATTGATCACTGTTTAGCCTGTTTTCTACCAAATATAAATGAGGGTATATATCATTTGGGGGGGAATTTTCTTGCCGATCTCAAAGAAAAAGGCCAAGGAGAGAGAGAAAGCACCTATCAGTCACTAGTCAGCGTGGCAAGGGAAAGCAAAATATATGTCTAGAAATAGATATTTTAGTGTCTGATGTGCTTATTTTCTTTGTGCGGTGCTACTGTAATTCTCAAACTCCTGTTTTTAAAACTGACTGCCATGCCGGGGAAAAGAAACAGATGTTCCCATTTGTCTTTTGATGTGGCTCAAATTCATTTACATTTGCTGGCCTAAAATGACATGACATGTCATTTGCCACTTTTTCTATCTCCTTTGGAGTGAGTGACACATTGCTGTTCAATTACTAGTATAATAGAAAAGCAGATATTGTGAGGACAGCTTTCACTTAAAGGAAATGGAATCGCCAGTTGCTGCAGTAGTTGAAAGAGAAGGATGGCAGATACTGTAGAAGTGTAATGTCATCCAGTGGAAAAGACATTTTTATTATTAATAATGTCATGGGTAAGACTCAGGGGAAATGCACTGGGTCTGGCTTTTCTGCCTAGAGAAAAGGAGAGCCAGGGATGAATAAAAATATGGTGTAAAACTGGCTTGCTACTCTTGTAAAATATATTTTCAGTTCTTTGCTTTGAGCATGTACTGCTTAAAGCCTTTCCATTTGCTTTGCAGCCAGCTCCAATGGAGAGCAATAATTACAGAAAGACTTCATCAGTAGAAGACACTTGGTGAGAGGCTCATTAGAAGGATTTTTAAAAAACTGAAAGAACTGTTTGTCAGACACTTTGGGATTAGTGATGTCACCCTACAGTGTGTTTTCTTGTTGGTGTATTTGTACTCTGCTTTCTCCCTTTCTCCTGAGATGAAATTATTCTCCAGGCCAAGCAGAGTGTAACCTTTCCTTCTGCAAGTCATTTACTTGAGGATCATGTGTCCACTCTTAATTTTTTAGCATTTCCTCTTCTCTAACTCTATCTAAGTCACTTGGCAGGCACAGCACATACTTTCAATATGCTGATCGAGATTAATTTTCATGTCACGATCCAGTCAGTCTGTTGGACTGGGTCAGAGTACAAGAGGTGAAGCTTCTGCTTGAAGTCTTTTACATTTTTCTTTCTAAAGGAACAAAATGAAGTGTTAGATGGAAAACATGTTGAGGATCCAATATATAGTGCTGTAATTATCATTCTATTACACCAGTTTTAAACAGTGAATCTCCAGTGAAATAATAGACTTGGGGTTGACAAAACGTACTGATGAATATGTGCTTTATCTGATAATCTGATGAAGCAGATGATCATTTAAACTTTCTTTTGTAGTTTAAGTTTGCTCTGAGTGACTTTCACAAGAGATGTAGTCCCTTGGCAATAAACATGAATGAATCCTTGAAATACCAGGGTTTCACCAAATAACTCATGATTATAGTCATACTATATAGTGCATGTTATAATGGTTGTAGAAACAAGTATCATCTGGAAATGTAGTTTTACGTTGTGAATGCAGTGAGGTAAATGCTGAAATGATTTTCAGTGATGTGTTGGTAGTTACTATTTATGCCTGACCTGCTTTTTCTGAATGTAAAGTCTTTCTTTGCAAAGCGAAACATGTTGCACTTGGCCATAATGAAATCCTTTCTACTCTGGCACTGCTTGTTTTGCACTGATGCAATATTCTCTTTGGATCTGACCTAATGGTAAAGATTCTTCCAGTGTCACTGCACTGTTGTGTTACAGGATTGTCTTGAACATACTGTTCCTTTCCACAGCTCCTGAGCTAGGTGACTTTATCCTTTGAAACACATCCTAGTGATGTAAAGGGTTTTTTTTTTTCCTTACTTATTAATTGCTTGCTGCAAAGCTTTCAAAGTCCCAAGCCCATGTTTTAAAAGAAAAGGGGAAGGGGAGAAGAAAGTTTATATTCTTACACAGCTAACTTTCTATTTTGCATGCAGTCCTCCTATTGCGTGTGGACAGGCAGAATGCTGATTTTGAAAATAATACTTTTTGATTTCAGGCGGGGGAAGGAAAAACCCAGCTGGTTTTATCAAGACATTTTGGTCATCCATGTAATGCAATTTTTTACAGGTTAGAGCTCACTAATGTGCTAAGAAATCACTATAGCTAGTCATCCGTTAAGGCTGGTTAAAATTTGTACAAAGAGTTACCAAGCAGGCAGGAGGCCCGAGTCCCCGCTGGTGGCCATCAGCCGCTCCCTACCTACCTCTCCCCTCCCAGGTGAGGTATAAAACTCCTGCTCCATCTCCTCTCCTCCTGAGAGCAGCTCTGTGCAGGGTCAGCCTGGAAATACTTCTCCGCTAGTCCCATCTGCTGGATGCCAGCGTGTATTGCCTGCTGGAAAGAGGGAGAGCATCATACCTCAGCCTTTAAGTATTAGCTGAATGCGGCGTGCCACCAGATGTACATCTGCTGATGAAAAACATGCACTTTCTCTGGTTTTCTTCCATCCACCTAATTGCATCTGGGCTGCTGCTATTCTCTTCAACAGACTCCATGTGTTAAGTAAAAGCAAGGTGGTGGCACGAGGAACTTTAAGCGAGAAGCTGTAATCAGAAAAACCCAGGAGCCGGAAAAGATCGCAGCAAAAAAATATGTGTATTGTTATCAAGCCATTTACAGGCCTGGGAATGAATTTCCTTTCTCCCAGTGTATATGTTCAGCAGTCAGTTTTATAAATGCCTCATTAAGGCTGCTACTCAGCTGCTCTCACCGTCTATCTCGCCATGCTGGAGAAGAGGGAGTGTAGCCATCACATCTGATCCAGCATGCTGCACTGCAGCCTCTAATATTATTATGAAGCTAAAAGAGCCTTCTCCATTGTTGAAAATACAGACTTCCTGGAACATTTCTAATCAGGCCAGGCAAAGGTTAAGAGAGCTTGATCTCATGTCCATAGATATTCCCCAGGGTATTACTTTTCTTGGTGGTAATTCACTGTTTGGTACCTGCCATCCAAAAGGGAGCTGGAGAGAAGAAAATGGGTAATGAATGCAAATGCAAAGTAGTGGAGAAAACTAGGAATGAATGCGAATGCAAAAAGGGGGAAAATGCATTCGATCCTAGCAATCTTACTTTGGATTATTTTGCTCTCTTCTTTGCAGTCATTTGTGTTGCATTTTTATACTTTGTGATGAGTGGTGGTGTGCCTTTTGCTTTAAAATAAAATGCGGGTGATTCTCCACCTTCTATTCTTACCTTCCATAGGCATTAAATTAGGTTCTGCAAGTCTGAAACACAGTCACACCAAGGATCTTATGGAAACATTTCTGGAGGAAAATAATCCTAGGAAAAAATCTTTATAAAATACATAGAATAAGATCAAGCAACAATTTCATCCATTGCAGACAATGTTTAGGGAAACATACCTTTATTTGGTGTGCCTACTGAGATAAAATCTTTAACCTCCCTTCCTCATCCTTAGATGTGAAAATGTGACTGTTTTAAATGTAACTGGTTATGTTTGCAGGTTTTTTCAGTTTACCTTTGTATCTCTCCCCTTTTATCATGGCACCTTGCTGTAAATTAGCATTTTGCGCTGAGTTGGTTACAATTAATATTGCTGCTGCTGTTACCAATAAAAAGATATATCATAAATAATTTTTACGTGTTTTCCTCAATAGGCGGTAACAGCACAGAGGAGAAGCAAAATGCCGAAGAAACGGAGGCCCAGAGCCAAGAAACAGGTTTGTACCAAGTTCCTTAAAGGACTTTCTTAGGTTTTATCCACCTTGGTGAACAATAACCTTAGTCAGTGCTATTGACGGAGAATGTTTGTACATTTTAACCAGATTAGCTCAGGTCTTGAGCAATTCTCCCATTCGAGACTGCACCTCCATTCATTATGAATGAATGTATTGCAGTGCAGGAATGCAGACTTCCCTCTTTGGCTTACCAGCTCTACATTCTCCCTTTAAGGTGGACTACCTCTAGCTAATCCTCTAACTAGAAAGAAATAATTTTTCATCTGTCTACAACAGAGTAGCCCTCTGCAGAGAATAGAAATGGGGGAAAAGGAAATTTGAAGAAGGAAGAAGGAAGCTTCCTTTGATGAAAACTATACTTCTGAAGGTTTGAAAGGGTATTTTCAAGTTTTAATAAATTGTCTACACAAGTCTCAGGGGTTATGAAGATTTAAATCCATACAGAATGATATTGCATATACTGTGAATCGATGTCAGAGTTCACAAGCAGTGGGTTCTGCAGATGGTATGCTTACAAATTATAGTGAGTTCAATATGTTAAAATATGTCACTGTTCACAGTAGATTTTCTATTATTTTTTTCTGTTTATGATTGTATCTTTCATCCTACCGAACTCTGTTCACTGCAAAAGACAACTGCAATTAGTTCGTTATCAAAAGAGCTCGAGTGACAATCAAAATGTCTGTAAATCCCCTTATTTCTTAAGGATTTCTTTTAGTGTAGTATTACTTGTAGCACAATGATTTTCTTGTTTGATTGGGGTTTTACTCACTGTATTTCAGGGTGTTGCTTACACATGCTTAATTCAGAGAGCATGAAACAGTTTTCTTCAGAACTTCTCTTTGGTTTGTTTTTTTTTTTTTTTTTAATCAGAATTGAAGATTGTTTTCAGTATGTTGAAGATTGAGCTGAAGAAGGCCAGCCAGTAAATGCAACAAAAATATTTTAGAAGGCCTAGAGTCTTGACTTATCTGGTTTGCTTACTGCATCGTGACTGTTTCCAGATGAGGAATTAATTTAATGAGGGTCCTTCTTTTTGTCCAATGCATTGGGCACTGTTTATGTGGAAGTGCAGCATTTCCCCTTGCGCTCCCCAGGTCAGTCTTCTGCAAGAAGGTGTTAACAGCTGACACTGTCGGCAAGTGCTTGAAGTCCATCTATGTTTCATGTCTTTTTTATCCCCTCTTTATGTCCTCGTGTGGGGCAAGCAGTGGGAGGGGAAGCCATAGGCACACAGTATTACAGAATAAAAAAGACTGGACCTCAGTGAACTTCAGACCTAGGGCCCTTTTCCTCCCCAGGATAAGTATGAAGTGGTATTTTATATGTGCTCGAGGACAACCAAGTTTCCTTTCCCGGGTTTTTCACTTTTATGCTAGTCATATTTTAAACAGGCAAAGGGGACCAGAGAGAAGGGAGGCATGAGGTGCTCTGTGTGAATCTAGATTCTGTTTTGAATCTCTGACTAGGCCCAGGGATACCTTTGCCCAAGCAATTTTGAGCTTTTAACTGTACCAAGTACTTGGCTGCTAGCTCACCTAAGAGCTAGTACTGCTAGAGGCTCCTAGCTCACACTGCAGAGGTTCCCGCTCAACCCGATTATACTTTTGTCCACAGGTGCCAAATGCAGCCCACTGTACTTGTCAGTTGTATTCATTCTGATGGGGTGCACATTTCTCTTTGTCGTGGTTTGATACTGGTCAGCAGCCAAACACCATGTAGCCACTCTCTCCCCCTTCTCTTCCAGCAAGGAGCAGGGACAAATGAGCCAGGTTGGGGATTTGAGATAGGACCGGGAGGGGCAGATCACCCATTATGGTCATGAGCAAAAGGCAGACTTGTTAGGGGAATTAAAAAAGAACATACATTTATTACAGACACTAACAACAACACTTAACAGAGTAGGACAGTGAGAAGCACTGCCACATCTTGAGAACACCTTCCCCCCACCCCTCCCTTCTTCCCGGGCTCAGCTCTGCTCCCGATATCTCTACCTCCTCCCCCAGCGGCGCAGGGGCAGGGAATGGGGGGTGCAGTCAGTGCTGCTGCTTCCACCCTCTGCGGTGGGGGGAGCTTCTGGAACTTGTTCCTCCTGCTCCATCGTGGTCCCCCTCTCACAGGAGACAGTCCTCCACAAACTTTCTCTGACGTGAGTCCCTCCCACGGGCAGCAGCGTTTCCTTACACTGCTCCAGCGTGGGACACCAACTTTCTCCAACTGGATTCCCTTCCACGGCTGCAGCCCTTCCCGAGCTGCTCCGGCGTGGGACTCCCCCGCATGCTGCAATCCTCCCAGCACTGAATTACAGCAGCGGGGCTGCCTTTTCCCACAAGACCCCGACCTTCTCCAGACACAGTCACCTTGATCATCCATGCAAAATGAAACACAGGCCATAAATCAGTGTCTGCTCCACCGTAGATCTCCATGGGTGGCAGGGGGGGCCGCCCTGCCGTCTCCCCACAGGATACAGGGGGGTCTCTGCTCCGGCACACCTCCCCCCTCCTTTCTTCCTCCGTTCCTCCACTGACCTTGGTGTTCATGAGCTGCAGCAACTCCTCCTCACCAGTCCCACTGCTCCTCACCACGTCCCTTCTTAAATACGTTCTGGCAGAGGCGCAGCTGATGGGCTCAGTTTTGGTGCAGAGGTGGAGCTGACTTGGAGCTGGGGGAGCTTCGAGAAGCTTCTCGGAGGGGGCCGCCCCTATAGCCCCCTCCCCTGATACCAAAAAACCCCACTGCTCACTCAAACCCAGGACACTCTGGTATTTTGATTTGCAAAACAGTTCAATTGAATGAGATACGTTTCATTTTTCCCAAGAGAATTAAGGAATATGTACTTTTCTAAATTATTGCTTTGCTACTGGAGGTGTCTTAAATGCACTGTGTTTTTCCCAAAACCGTCATTATGACTTGTTATGTTACAAGCTGTCAGAGCTGGTTTATCGGAGCCATGTTGTACGTCTATCTCATATTGGTAGTCGTGTTTTGCTACTCTCATGAAAAACGTCAAAGAAAAGATCCAGACATTTTAGGTCACAGATCCAGAAAATATCATACTTTAGGAACATGTTTTAGGTACATGCCTAAAGATAGCATTGTCCCTACACATAGCCCATGAATCACCTCCTCGGCCACAGGCACATAGGGTTACAGGAAAAAATTATTTGGCTTAACTTCTATCCCTACTGGTTCACATAGTGATAAGAATAGAGAAGTGTACAATTACCTTGAGTTAGTTATATTCAGCTAATGGGTTGCTGCTGCTTTCCACTCTACTCATTGGGGAGACAAAACATCATGAGGAACTTTTCGACTGCTGCTTCTGAGTCTTTACTTGTCAGTAGGAAATGGCCTGATTTTCTAAGATACACAGTTGTATGCCTAAAACATTTCTAATCCCTCTGAATGATCACCGTAAGGAGCAATCCCATCAAATGTTTAAGTTCTTATTTGTATTTTCTAAACCAAAAGGCATAACCTTCATCTGAGTGTGACAAATCACAAATCATATACTTCATCACTGTGAGAAAAAGTGTAGGAGAAAAAAAAGGCACTGTATTCTTACCCAGTCTATTGCATAGTGATTTATATATTTTTATCATACAGTAGTGAAAAAGCCAGTTTATAGTGTACAAAGACTGGCCTGAAATTTTTCAGCTATTACTGTATGTTTTTTTTAAATCCTGGCCTCCAGTCTATCATCAGTGAACTTCACAGTTAACATGTGGAAAAACAAAATGGCAGGTGGTTCAGAGCTTTTGTTTCAAGCTACTTAAAAATACTCAATGACTATATTAGGGAAAAAAAATTGTCAGAATCATCAGAGTCAAGTCTTTTGAAAGGAATGAAAGGCTAGAAAGGAAAACAAAGTCTTATAAAGGTTTTAGAACTATAAAAACTACCAAGAAAAAACAACAGTGAAAATTAAAAAACTATGTTAAATTCAGGTACTGGTTTTATCTGCAATAGTTTTACCTGCATGATTTATCATTAAAGGACTCCAAGCTGCAGATATTCAGGGACTTGCTAAATTTCAGGCCTGATTCACGAAAGCTTCTATTTTCAGGAAAGCATTTGCATGTAATCATTTTGATTCCAATGGGATTCATGGACATGATTAAAGTTAAGAATGGCTTAAATATTTTTTCCGAAAATAGATGGATTAAATGAAAAAAAGAATCTCGAAGCAAATAGCAACACCGGCCTACCCATGAAACTGATAGCTGTTCCTCTCTCTGTATTGTGAGAAATTGAAATATAGACTTGATCTCGTGGTATTGTAATATAAATTCACCCCTGGCTTAGGGAAGGAAATCAGACCCAGTAATGGCTGGTGAATGCAATGTGAATGGATAGAAGCCCAGTAAATCAAAATCAGGTCTCAGTAAGGTGTAACACCTTTTTCAGCAAAGTGGTTCATCGGTTTGCTATCTAATGAATAACTTCTCTTTCATTTCCTTGGTTCTTATAGATGAGATGAAACCTGCAACTGTAGCCAGCCTATCATCAGAAGAAACAGAGCTGCGTGAAGATAAAGGTACAGATTGTAAATTGTTTCAAAATATCCAGTCCCAAGAGGACATTGTGTAAGGCCTTATTTTCCTCTGTCTGGAAATTGCAAAAATCACAGTAGAACAATATAGAAATAGGTAAATGCTTGGATTTTCATTTACAAAAGTCTTTGTAATGAAGTATTTGGCACCAGCTGTTGTGCTTGTAGGAGAGATGCTGTGAATTCCTAAATCCCCTTGTTATAGAGGTAATGCTAAAAAGACATACATGACATATCAGAAATAAACCCAAAGCTTGGGCTCACTGGGGCAATTCACAGGCGTAAAGTTAAGCATGCACATCTATCTCGGCAATATTAGCTCCCTATTCGGTGCTCTCCTGATGGGGAAAAAGAAAAACACAATAGCTATAAACACATCAAGAGGAGACAGGAGATGAAGTCATAATTGAGAGGGAGAAAGTAATGTTTATCTTGTGCAGACTGTGCTGGGCACTCAGATCATTTAGTTTGTGATAAATATTTAAAAGTGTCACGGGGCCAAATGACAGGGAGTTTAGGAAACAAGAAAGAGAGATGATCTAATTTAAATGTTTCAAGCTGAGATTTTTCCTGTGGAGTTGTGGGTTTACAGATAGGAACCAGTGCGCAGACGTACTGTTTTTGATACTCTTATGATATCACACTATTAATTGCTTGTGCCAGTCTATGGTTTTTGGCATTTTTGTGGGGGTACGTCAGGAAAAAGCCTGAGTGATTTATAAAATGTTCGCTACTGGTAATTCAAAACAGGAGTTATGCTATCTATAATAAATACAGTCCATCAGTACAGCCTTCAAGAAAGACTAATTGAAAATTTTAATGCATTTTACTGAGATAACATAATTATTAACATCCATTACCTTATTTATTTTAAAAGATTTAATGTTTAATTCAGCATCACTGCTTGACTCTCTTCTCATTTTTCTAGATAAGTGTGATGGGGTATGAGATCTTGCCCTTTTGTTCCAAAGACACATGTTAGAGAGCCCACATACTTACCTGATTATGAGTTCAAAGCCTTGTGCAGGTTGATTTAAGTGCTTTCTTAACTGATTGATTGATCCTGCAGGGAAAAAAAAAAAAAACACAAACCTTTGCTGGAGCACTGGCTTTTCCTTTTGATATCTTCACAGATTAAAGTCGTGGCAAGGCTAGTGGCAGGCAGAAATAGTGATAGATTCAGCCCCAGCATAGTTGGTGATTTCCTGTCATTAATTTCTCTTTTTTTGCTGACATTTGACCTGTTTACGTATCCTGTATCTATAAGATCCCCCATCAGATGTAGTTTTCATGTTTTGTAATGCGAGGGTCACAGTGAGCAGTTTGGATTTTTTTTTTTTTTTTTTTGCTGTCTGCAGACTTACTGAAGATCCCAACATTTTAATATGGCTTTGAGTACTTCTTCCTGACTATGAAGCCAGTGTCTTCTGATATGCTTTTCAGTGACCGTCTCAATGTGTAACAGCTCCAGTTTTTTGATGCATTGTATTAGTTGTCTCTTCTCAGGAGAGTAACTATCTTGGTGCTCTAGGTCTCAATTTTCCTATAAAATATGCTAAGAGTATAGTATTTTCCTTCTTCTCTTGAGAGCTTGACAAAAGAGATAGTACCCTGAGAAATCCAAAGGGTAGTTTCTCTTGGATGTCTTACCTCTCCTCAAAAGTAAGATGGAAAGCAGTCTGGTAGGGAAAAAGGAACGAGACTGACTCTCCTCCACATATTTTGTTTGTAAAGTCGTACAAGTAGAAAAAGAGAATGGTGGGGAAAATAACATGTATGGGGATTTGCCTGCTACTTTCTTAAATATAGCCTGAAATTTTGAATGACAATGCCAATGCATCCACCAGGCCATGGGTTTAATCCTTATTACCATTAGTAGACTTTCAACTTTACAGATTTTAGATTTTGAGTTGTTTTAAAATGAACGCTATGGGTACAAAAAACTAGCTACCGCTTGGGAAATGGCACTTTTACAAAATCCTGGCATTTCTGAAAATACCTGCTGTTCCTGAAATAAATTTCACCCTTCAAATTGTTTGCCCACTGAGTTAACACAGCTAAAATCTGCCAGGTTCTGGAACATACCCATTTCTGTAGTTTATCTTCAACTAAATGAATTGGATGTAAAGCATTTAAAGAAGTTGTGGTTTTCCAGTCCTTCTACCTAATTACTGTGAAAGGAGATTTGTGGCAAATAAGTCTAGGCTACATATTCCCAAAAAGCATAGTTTAAACCACTCGGAATAGGAGATTTCCAAGCCTACTATGGAATTACAACAGTCTTTCAAAAGTAAGTTCTGGTAAGTGCACCAAAACAAGTATTTTGACTCCAATTAGAGTTGACTAGTAGTTTTTCTGCTGATTTTTTCTCATATTTCTGGGATTAGACTATAGAAAGCACATTGAAATAGTTATTTATTGATCAAAAACATGGTGATATTGAAAACAGCACATGTGTCTCTGCTACCATGAAGTTCTAGTATTTTTGTCTTACCTGAGTCATCTTTATCAGGTTTTTTAAAGGAAAAGGGAAAGGAAGGGAACATGAAAGGGGATGTTACGTGATGAGTGCATGGAACAGTGCAAGAATCATGTTTTGAGGGGCTCCAATTAAAATTAAAGCCTACTGTGAGATTATAAATCTCATATTAATGTGAAAGTATCTCTTCTGTTATTCACAATAGAAGAGACACTGTCCAGAAAAAAAGGTCCACATGAGCCCAGTTTGCATGTCACCTTTGAGCAGACTGAATTTTTTGACTGCTCTGTCTGTCCTCAGGAAAAAAAAAAAAAAAAAAAAAAAAAAAAGGCAGAAGAGTCATATTCCAAGAATATCAAGATGTTTGATGTTATGCTGTGGAGGTATTGTCTTATTCCAGTCTGTGCCAAGTTTCTATTTCCACTGTCTGGAAATGCTGCAAAGAAATGTTGCAATTTTACCCTTGAAAACTTGCATGCATAACTATTAGTTCTTGGGGGAGAGCTGACATCTCTAGGCAGCACCTTCGTAGCGCTTCATTACTGTGCATATGGAAGTAGATCCTTTATACACAGCATATTTCAAGTTAGAGATGCTTCTCTTTATGAAGTGTAAGAGCAGAACAAAGTGATTAAAGTCATTAATGTTTATGCAGAAGATAAAACACATATCAGACGGGCTGCACTCAGTCTAGTGTGCCTGTCCATCCAAGATTGTGCTGGGACTACAAACTCATTTTAAATGGACTGTTTTGTATATTGGTGTGGATTGGTTTGAACCTGTGATTGATTTTTTTTTTTTTTTTTAAAAAAAAGAGTACGTGTGCATACTTTTTTAAAAAGAGTATGTGTGCAAGAGAGAGTGTTCTGCATCTTCATCTCAGTTACCTGCCCTACCAATTGCTATTTAACCCGATTTATTGATAGGGCTTTCTGGTAGAAAAATGAAAAAAGGAACTGGTTTTAGTACAGGTGAAGAATGAACTCCCCATTATGCAATCATGGCAAAGTTTCTGTGCACAATACGCTGATTTTAATTCATTAGCACTTAATAAGAACTGAATTTTCATTTGAAGGTCAACTAAATTAAATCATATGCTAATTAATTTTAAAAATAAAGTAGCGATTAATTATTTCCAGGTGTTCACCAAATTTTGTGCTCCTGTGGGAGTGCCATTTAAAGCAAGCCACTATTTTCTACATTCTCTAAAATGGAGTCAGATTCAGTCAGCCAGGGGACTTATGTGGTCAGAAGCAGAAGTAGGTATATGCCTTGGCTAGGGGCTAGGCCTAAAATCTCACTTTGTACAACCCAGAAGACTTTAAATATCCTGCCTGTAAATCATAATGGATACAAAATTCCTGTTTGGCCAGCTGTAGTTCTCACCATGGAAAAATCTCGATGTCCTAAAGATGTAAATGATTGAGAAAGGATAAGCTGAAAGTTGGAGCATTTCAAATGCAGGGGAGCTGTGCAAATCGACATAAATTAGACATTGATAAGTGGGTGAAAAGATTGACTGAAAGGCCAATATGTTCAAAAGGAGGTGTTTAAAATCAGCTCTTAAGTATATATTAAGACATCTAAATGAATGACCTGGTTTTCAGAAGTGCTGAGCGCACAGCAGCTACCAATGAAATGTTTTTACTTCACCCTTGGGCTATGATTAGACCTGGAAAATTTCAGCCTGAAAAATTTCAATTATAGGTAACTGAAAAAGAACCTTTCTAATGGAAGAGTTTCAACACCCCCAACCGTAGCTGTGGCTCTGCATGCCAGCTACAGTGATAACATTTTTCTCTCCCTTGGTTAGAAGGATTTCTATGAAAGCAAATTGGCTAACACAAGATAAATGCTGTGGTTTGTTTTTTTTCTAAACCACCTACATAACCATCACCATCCAACCAAGCACCTATTCTCCTAACACCCTCCATAATGGTCACTTTGAGCTGCATATAATGCAGGCTATTTACTTTTCCTTTTAATCTGACCTATCTGTAGCATTGTGCATCCAGTCAGGGTCCAGCCCATAAACTACTCAAGAGGTATTTCTGCTTTACCCTTCACCGGTACAGGCAGCCCCAGCAGCCAACACTAATCTATTTAGCTGCTTTATCTAGATCCTACTTATTTTTAAAGATTAGCCGACCTGGAGCCATTCAGCTGCGCTCCCATCAGCCTGATGTGAGCACCTACTCCTTGCATCTGTCCCCCTCAACCCGTACCTCCAGCTGCATGGCATTTTCTCCTGGGAAAGGTCTAACTGAGGCAGCCAGGTATTTCTCTACTCTTTCCTTTCCCAGTGCCCTGTTCAACACGCCCTGCCCCTGGCAGCAGCAGCAGGATGCCCATGGTTATCGTACCAGCTGCGCCTGAAATTTCTCTTGGGGACAGAAGGTGAGGTCAGAGGAATGCTGGTCTGTCAGCGTGGAGCACGAGTAGGTGGGAGCATTCCTTGGTGGACCGCACCTGTGGAGATGAACTGCCTGGTCTATCACCCGAACGCTTGCAAAAATATCTCTACAGGTTGTTGCACCTAAAAAGGTCTGTTTCACCAAGCCGTATAAACTTGGGCTCCAATAAATCTAATCTGTCATAAAGATAGATTAAAATGTAATCTTGGTGGATATAAAAATAACATTTTAAAGTCAAAGCTCAAGAATATCTCCCTAACTTCTCATAAATCACCGTTTTATAGTACTTCATTTTAACACATTTTCCTCAGTTTATGAGGCAAAAGAATACCCTAATCATGTGGCAGCCTCCATGCACACCATTACCTGTAATTTTAGACGCCTGCTTGATTTCTTTCACTCTGGAAATATTCCAGTCATTTTTCACAGTATCATGCCTAAAAAATAAAATGCACTGAACCTGTTTCTTTCATAATGACCAGCTTTTTCCCTCTTTAATCTTCTTACAGCTCCCTAAAACATGGTGATTTATCTATGCTGTGTGCAGGACCCAGGTGTGTTGCATATTAGAAACAACTCAGTAAATAAGCCATACAGAGAGTAGCTTGGGAAGTGAATTTTAAAAGATCATTAAAACCACTTAACATTCAGATCTTACCATTTCTACTCTTCCTTAGCATTTGCAAAATTTTATTTGAGCAGCGTTGCTTTATACACTCAAAAAAACCCAAACCATGAATGGCATGAAAAAGCATGGGGATTTATGTAGCGTTTAGACAAAATAGTGTCTGATTATTGGCAGGAAGGATAGGATTGATAATTTATTGCAAGCTACATGGTTTTCTTGGAGCTGAATTCAACATACAGTTGATATATTGGAACAGTGAATGTACTTGGGGAGTATTCTGATCGGCTTAAAGTGCAAATATTTTCTTCACGGGTTGTTAAAGGTTGGGGCAAATTCACAGGTGCATTCAACCATGCAGCCTCATGAGAGTTGTTTCAATACAACAGTGGGTTGCAGAGCCACGTGCTTCTGCCATGGACACTGTCACTGCAGCCACCAAGTAAAAGCAGATTTGAAGGAACTAAGGGTTGCTCAGACTTCAGTGAGCACTTCAGTGCTTGATGTGCAGTAGATGAAAGTGGCCTATCTTTGGTTCATTTATGTCATTAAATGTCATGTTTGGTTCATTCATGTTTGATCAATGATGACATTAGGAGCTGTGCTCCAGTGTAGTATCAGAAACACTGATTATTTTCAGTCCTGCCTGCAGGATTGTTAACCTTTGCTGTCCCAATTTGTGGTTACCCAAGGTAAATAGTGCCCAGCATGCGTTATTAAAAAACTGAGCATACTGTGCTGTGAAATAATATCCTGACTTGGAATCTCTGGTACAACTTAACAGATAAGTAGCTGTGTTAGGGGAAGGCTAACACTGCTTTATGCCGTTTAAAAAATCAGAGTTAGTTCCCTAGCCAATTAGCAATGAACAAAGGCTTTAGGGATGGCCAGAGCTTTTGTAGACCCTGTAATCATTTAGGACTATGATACTGCCTTATGCCCAGTTGCACAGGGCTCTAAAGGGCTAAGTGAGCACAGAGGACCAGCTGAGCCCAAGGAATATCAATACCCTACTGAAAATTTGCATGCAGAAAGTAGTATATCATCAGCATTTGTGGGATTCCCACTGCTGCTTGCCAGCTGAAATGGAGGTGCCACTCTTGCCTTATATCCAATCTGGGAACAGCTTTTATTGACTGCTGCATTTGGTCTTACACTTTTACTCTTGCTTGGCTCAGATTTTCTTCATAAATCTGGGTTTATTCCTTTGCTTTATTTTATTCTTGCTAATCCTAAAAGTAAATCTGTCTTTGGACCTTTTGGCTTGAATATTTGATCTAATATTTGCATTTAAAAAGAAGAAATCTTTGACATGGTCTTGACCTTAAAGATTTTGAAACTCAGAATCTGCATACTAATACAAAGACTTATTTCTACTGCTGAAATAAGAGCAGTGGACTCTTACAGCTAGGCAGTAACTCCTGTCCATGTTCTGCTCTTTTTGCAAACACACTTTACAAAAAATAACTTTTGCAAAATTATCATTGTATATTGCCTGGGATAATTTGGAATTCTGGGCAATTAAATTACATTCTTGAACCCTGGAACAATTAGCACACTGTTTACGATAAAAATGAAAGTTTAACACAAAATTACAATCCCGTGAGAATAAACTTTGCAGAGCCAGCTATAGGAATGTGTGAAGATGTGCCAAATAGCATAGGTGGTCTTCTGGCTGCGGTGCCTCATGCTGACGCTCAGCGCAGCTGCAGGGTCAGACTGCCAGCTGTGCCAAAAGGTGGAAGCAGCGACAGCCCCCCATGCTGTGTGATAACTGTTGTTTGCTATAAGCTACGCAACGCTCCGCGACAAGCAGCAGAGTAATGGGGCACATACATCAGCCGAGCACAAGGCTCCTTAAACTCCATTTGTTATTATTGACCAAAGCGCGTAATTGTTCCTCTGATGCTGGGGATTGATTTTTGCATGAAATTGGAGTCATTCCTCATTCTAGGAGAAAAGGTGGCACCTGTGAACTGAGATTAAAGGCGCAGGACTGAGAGTATGAAGTACTGTGCAGTAGGTGTAGGATAAGATAGCTCTAAGGGTCAGGCAGGACAGAGCTGCACGCATCCCTACCGCCTGTCACAGGTAATATCACTCTTTGTCATCACTTTTGACTGTTTGAAGGGCTACTTAAGGCAGAGGACTTGTGATTCCAGCTTTGTCAGTACAGTTCCTTTTGCAAACATGCAACAAAAATCATACAGAAAAAGATTATATTAATTTAGGGCATGGGGCTACAGATGATACAAAATCTTGGCTCATTTGATATCCTGAAAGCTTTGTCAGAAACTTCAGCAAAGTCAGAATTTCAAATCAAAGGGTCTAAAAGTTTGCTTGAAAAATTCCCTACAGATTTTCAGTGCCATTCCCATTTGTACCAAGAGGTCCTTCAACTTGCTTTTGATTAAACTTGGAATTTGATGAAATTGTAATTTATTTTTGCTCTGATTCGGGCTGATAGGGTAATCCCCTGTAACTCGTAGCACAATGTGGCATCCTACTATGAAAGGCCAGCGCAGAGGTCCAGCTGATAGCAGTGAGTAAACGTTTTAAATCCACAGTAGGGTGAAAAAAAAGTGCAGCAAGGGCAAATTTTAGCAAAGTGTACATCTGTGAGATATTCTACTTTCAAACTTGGATTTATAAACTTATTGTCATGCCACGAAAGAAGTAAGAAGCTGTGCAGGTAATTAAATATTTGCCTTGGGGGATTATTTGCAGTTAATTAAAGCCACACACTCTCAGTGCATACCTTTTCTACAGATTATTAAATTTGGATCGGATGTTAACAACCCAGCTTTCTCACTTATCCATCAGAGATTGTTCTTGGCAAGTTTCAAGAACAGAGTTTTACAGGGGCATCCTTTGGTATATTGTAAAATTTGCTCTCCTATTTTGTAGAAAGAGACCTTCCAGAAGTAGAGCCTTAACAAGACTGTCATAACGTAATTTATTATCATGCACCATAGATCTTTTGGCACTGTTACTTAAGTTTTTCATCTAGCAGCATTTTAGAAAGTGTTTCACTCTGGAACACAAATAGTGATTATCTGTTACTGTTCTTAAAACCTCACGTGTACTTATCCCTGTAGTTTGCAGAAATGTCCAGTTAGATCAGCAGTGGTTTTTAAAAAGACTCAAAGAGAGCTCTTTATCCAGTGAAAGCTGCATGTTATGCAGATGAGCAGAGCTAAAACGGGCGACTGTTGCTGTGATTTTCTGATTGCAGTGAAATGATGCATTTCTTTACCCCCGTGCAAAAACTAAGGAATGGCTGTTGTCAGAAAATGTCATTCGACACAACAAAATAGTGCCCTGTGTTTATGAAGACTAGAGATAACATAGCAATTGCACTTATGACACCTAATGTGCCACTGTTTCAGGCTGTGGCTTTGGGCAGTTCATTTTGCTGGTCTCCCCCCAGAAGGAAAAGGAGCCTTGGCCACAATAACGACCTTGGGAGTTCTGCCATCAAGTGAAATGAGGCTAGGATTTGCAGGCATTTATAGGACTTAACGTTTGTCAAGTTTGTGGAATTCCAACCATGAAAAGCGCTGGCATTGTTCTAAATAAGTAAGAAATCACTTTATTTATCAAGTAGGTGGTTTGTGCTGTTTTTCATAGCTTTGTGCCACTCCATTCATTAGCAATAAAACTCTCAGTAGCTCTGCTGATTATTCTTATGTGTCCTATCTTGCCAGCTCCATCTTTAGGGTTTGTACTGCAGGAAAAAAACTGCTCAGTAAGTGCATGGATTTTGAAATCAATTTGAATAATTGAAACACATGAGTATACTTTTGTAGTATATAAGTCTGTAGTTAAAAAGATAGAAAATCTGTCAGCATATCAGAATGCTAGATATGAAGCTAGCACCTAAGGGCTACCTTTGTCTGAAGTAACTGCCAGACTTTTCCAGCACAAAAACCGCTGCAGGATTTGTTTGTTTGTTTGCTGTTTCCTCAGACTCCCTGAAAGACTCCAAAGGCGCACAGGAGAGTGACCCAGTGCATCCTGTGGGATGTGAGCAAAATCAAGCCGAAGGTAAAGTTTTGTATCAAAATTCTTTAAGACAGAGATAATGAATCAGTTGGGAACCTTAGTTCTTCCAGTTTCAGCATCCAGTGGTTTTCAGCCTGACCTCTGATGCCTTAAGAAAACGCTGTCAGCTAGTAGATGTTGTGTGCCAAGCAGTTCTGGTGAGGTAATCCCTGGTGTTGCTGGAAAACACACATCTCCAAATATGTGGGTTTAACCATATTGATCCTGGGTGCATAGCATTGTTATTAGTGCCCTTTTTTTTTTTGTTTCTGTTCTGAAAGCCTGTGGGGTGATTCTGTTCCTTCTGCTAAGTTGACTGTCAAGTGTGAGCACTTTGCAACAGCTCCTATGAGAATCAGTGTATCAAGGCTAGGCTACAAAAGAAGAAAAAAAAAAAAAGTTGGTTCAGGGTCAGTATTGACCAGCCATTTAACATACATAATGCTTAGGGTTCGTTAAGTGATATTTTAATGTATAAAACAAGTTCAGCATTTTTCATTTAATAGAAAAGAGGCGACACTTGGCTGAAAACGACTGTGCTATGTTAGGTTTGTGTCCTGTTTTGGTGAACTTGCCGCTGCCTGCCCGCAGCCACCATGCTGATATCATTTGCAATTTGTCTTGCTAACAGGACAACAGAATGTTTCTGCAGAGGAGATGAAAACTGGGGCAGATTCCCAAAGCTCCTGCATGGAAATAGAAGGTACTGCACATGCCTTGAAAACAAAGAGCAAGATTAACAGGCAAAACCACTAGTTATTACTCAGATATTATCAGTAGTATTTAAGTCCCCTTTCTCCATACCTACTAAGGTAAATCTGTGGAACTGGATCTTCCTGTGGTAACTGAAAATTCAACCTTGAGCAGGGGGGTATCTGTGGATTCTCATTGATAAAAGCTGACTTTTTAATGACTGTGACTGTTAGAGAAAGAAGTGAACATTGCCTTTCTTACTCCTGATGACAAGCACTTCAGCCTTGTGTGTTTGGAGCACTGAATGCTCTGTCCCCAGTCCAGCAAAAAACTGGAGTATGTGCGTCCCTTGGCTTGCAATGAGTCCCAGTGAAGGCCCACTCTTGAAGCTAAGCACATGGGGGGGTTTGTGCCCAACCCCAGAAAGCTCAAAATCTTGGATGATAAAGGCCTTGCTCTCAACTACAGCCCCTTGGATTTCCCTCAGACAGTTTTTGTATCCCTACCTTAAGACGAAAAAGGATCTTTTTCCTCTGCCAGTGCTTTTAATGGTAATATCTCTAGTGCGTGTTAATCTTTTGTGTCCGTTCAAAAAAGTCTTACTGTTCATCTGCTTCTTATCAAATTTATTCAGAGCCATTGTTGAACCAAGAAGGCACAAGAGAAGTTGAGATACCTTTGATTCATGGTGCAGAAGAAAAAGAAGGAGGAAAAGATGAAGAAGGAGGTGAGGTTACTTTTTAAATAGATTGAGACAGAGAATGCTGGTGGGGTCATGTTCTCCTCTTCTATTGTGAGGGAACATGGAAAAAGCACATAAAAGTGGGTTGTTTTTTTTCCTAAGAAAAATCCTTTTTTGCCTATCCTCGAGTGTTGTTTTGATATATTGGACTTGGATTTACACAGGAAAGTAAGTGCAAAAAAGTGCATGCTCAAGTTCTAAAGTGACTTTAAAATAAATACTCTTCTCATTGGTTTTCTGCATAAGGCTGAATAAACAACCAATTTATGTCCATTAAAGTATCCTCTTGATCATGTTCACTAGAAGCATTGAGAGTATTTACAATAAATGGGTATGACATTTATTTGTGAGGTCATTAATAGAGATTTAACTAGTAATTAAGTAAAACTAGTAATTCTAATAAAGAAACCGATATCTGGAGCAGGAACACAGTCTTGCTGAAGCAATAATTTTTTTCTGGGAGTAAAGTATTTAAATCCTTAGGAATGCTTTTGCAAAGAAATGTAGAAGTTTAATTTTAAGTGTCAGACAGTTCTGAGAACCCTACATTCGGCTCACCATTTGTAACAGGCACATGGTTATATAAAAAATAACATATTATGTAAATAATTCTCTAATTGTAAAGTAACTGCAAGTTAATAATTATACAGTCATTTGTAGAGCACAGGGATGAATTTTATGGTTCCAAATTAAAATGCAGACATGATTTTTATTGAAAATTCAGGTCAATACTAACTGTGTTGTCCTAATTATGAACTCCTTTTCCCAGTCATATTGACACCAACTTAATTGCAAACCTGTGTTAGCAATATTGACACTTTACTTCACTGCAAACCCAGGTTAATAGAACGTCTTTGTTCATATGCAGCTAAACAACATTTCCTCTCCTTTTTTTTTTTTTTTTTTAATTGCCTATCCAAGTTGAGACTAATCAAATCTCTTTATTATCAGTCATGTTAATGGTATCAGTTTTGTGCTGTATTACTGATGGTGAACATAGAATTGATATAATCCTTACTTCAAATCCAGGTAAATGGTATTGTGCTACCTCAGTTGCAAATCCAGGTTATATAATGCAAGCTCACTCTGATTGCAAATACCAAAGTCGTTATGTTAATTTCCTCCTAATAGAAATTATTTACATTTTATTTTATGTCTCATCAAAAGCAAGTTGGACAAAATGTACTTTCATTATTTGTACATTTCCTTCTCTTTAATACTTTAGTGTCCCCTACAGCTAGTCACTGTCATTTAGTTCTCAGTGGAGAGATTATATTTCACCATCTGTTCTACCTACTATTAAAATATGCAACATTAAGGAAACGAAGGTAATGTCAGAAAAGGGTTGTTCTTGGCACTTTTCCTTTTCCTGCTCCTGATTTAAAAGGTTCAAGTACTAAATAAGTAAAAGGTTCTTTCCAAACATTTTGGAACATGTTCCTACCTGGGGCCTCAGGTATTGCTCCTGTACAAGATTAGTCTAACCCGAAGCTCGTTGAAGTTCATAGAAGGACTCTCATTGATCTAAGTAAGCTTTTGGTCAGTTCCATGATAAGAGGAGATGATGTGCTGACTCTGCCCACAGGGTAAGGACTTGGGTAACTGCATGGATATTCTGTTCAGCTTCTTCCAAACATACTGTCTTTGGGTCAGGGAAAATAAATGCATGTTTTTTCAGTCTTTTGAGAAGGAAAGGAAATTGAGGCTGTGCTTTTTCAGGGTTTCGAGAAGGGAAGGAAACTAGGGCTTTTCCTTGCTTTGTTTCATTCTTACAGGTATAAGAACATGTAGGGCATCCTCAGCTTTCATCTTGCTAGGCGCTTCCAGTTCTGGTGGGCACATACTCTGCCACATAAGTTTTGAAAGTTCGCCACAAAGCAAGATGGATCTGGACAAAGAGAGGTAAAAAAAGAAAATCAGCTGACGTTCAGGCTGATAAAATAAGGTAAATTCCCTAGAGAGAGACTCCTCTCAATGAAAAGAGATTACCTGGCATAAATCAGAGATTTAATCTGTAACATTATTTTATGTAACCCAAGTGCTGCCTCATAAACTAATGCAATTATATAGTTTTCCAGCAGCACCCACAGTACAGTTAAAATATGATGTAATGATGTATTTTTGTCTAAGAACATGTGAAAAAAAAAGCCAACGTGGGACAGCTAGTCCCATTAAATAGAAATACACAGATTTTAAGTGGTTTTGACCTGTACTACACCTATATGCATAGCCAAACGTAGCAACTACTATACTGCAAACTACCTGGTCTTTCTGTGCTACATCTGATACTTTTTTTGTGTTACCAAGCTCATCCTATAGTGGAGAGTTATTACATAGCTTCCTCTCTCTCTCTTGCCAGGAGCCATTAGATTAATGGGAGTCATCCGTGACCCGTGCTGGTCCCCAGCACTGGAGCTGTGGATGCCACCAAATGACCAACAAAGATCAAAGTCCCTTTTCCAATCTAAAGATAGATTTCTGCTTAGCTACTGATGGTGGCTTTGAAGCACCCCAGGAATTTTTTCAGTGATCTGGTTTTCTGTGGAAAGTCTGTTCAAAGTGTTTCTTGCTGATTTTGAGATGTGTCTCAGTTTTCACAAACTTTTGACAAACCATAGATAAAGCTTCTGATCTAATTGTGCAAGTTTTACTACCAGCTCATCTATGTGTTTTGGAGGATTTTAGGGCTTGCGGGATCTTTTCTGTATAGCTCATTTGGCTTCACTGCTCCAGGGTCACACCGTAGTGCATATTACCAAGGAGTCATGGATCCTGGCACTTTCAAGGTTCTGGGGAGCTGGGAGCCCAGAGGAATGAAGAATCAAAGTCTTGGCAATCTCACCACTGTTCCCCATTGCCAGCAGTAAGAAACAAGCCAGATTACCCTGAAGAATTTAACAATGTGAGGCACTGTGTGTGTTTCATAAAAATCTGCTGTTGCTTTTTCCAAAATCAGTAATAAAATATAGCATGCGCCAATTTATTCCTTTTCCTACCATAACTTAAAGTTATATATTACTAGGGAGCAACTGAAGAAAGACAAACTAAGATGCCTTTTTAATTTTTTTCCAGCTACTATAATGCACTCATTCTAGTTCACAAAAGAATAATGAAAATCTGTGTTTCTTATAAGATTAGGGAATAATCTCAAATCCCTTTATTAAAAAGCAGAGTAAGTGGTGATCACTGACCTATTTGCTGACTAGGTAAGTGTACACGGTTTTAATAGACCGTTCAGCAGTCCCTTTATATGTACACTTGGAAATAGTCCTGTCATGTTGCAATGACAAAATTTGTAATTTTAATCAGCACAGTTTTTCCAGAACACAATTTGCAGCACATGGAAATAAAACTCATGTTTATTTGTGTGAATATGTAGCCATTTCCTCCTCAGAGCCTGATCTCCCCTCTATCTTCTTATTTCCCACCTCTTTCTATCTCCCTTTGTGAAGATATTAGATATGATGATTTCCCTCACTGCTCATCTCTGGAAGTTGCTTAACTCTTTGGAGGATAGGATTTCTGTCAGAGCACTGAAATATGAACAGAAGTAGCCATTATTTCTCTGTTGTCTCTCTTCTGTATTCAGGCTAAAATATTTTGTCTTATTCTGATGTTTGGAACATGATTTGAGCTTGACCTAGGTTGTTTTTCTACCCAAGAAACAAATTTAGAATGGTTGAGTAGCATCCTCCCTGGGAAAAGGACTTACTTATTTTCCATTGGACAAGCCCAGAAATGCAGAAGCATATTGCTGCTGAAGCACAATCAAGGAACAAACTGCCATAATTAATGCCTATAAAATGGATATTAAAGTGGCCAGAGATTTAGCTTAAGAGCAGGACACAGCCCTTACAAATAATATTTCTGTGCAGTTGCATCTTAGCCTGTTTGAATGTCACGTTTAGGGAACAATATTAACCATCTTTTTTTCTGTATGAACCATGCAATATTATGGCAGGCTTGGGAATGGGCTGGGGGAAGTTTCATGGTTTATGTCATTCACAATGTATGTGATTTCCTTTGCTGGTCTTCTGGTCAGTGCCTGTTTACTGTAAATTTGAATTCTGCCTGATTTCTGTTCTAGCTAAGCCAAGTTTTGCTCAACAGTCTTTCTCGCATGAATAGCTATCTAACTCCATAGCCATCATGTCATCCATTCTTCACTTAAAGGGCTGGATTTTCAGGTCATTTACCCATTTGTAATTTACCAAGAGAGATAATTTTATGGCATAATCTTGGAGAGAATTACATGTTCCAAAACCTGGAGGAAAAGACCTCTCAGTTTTCTTTACAGGCATTTATAAGATTGTTACATGTGTTGGTACTATCATAAATATTGTCAAAATAATGACTTTCTTTGATATGACATTGTGGCTATAGAGAAACAAAATACTTCTTGAGAAAGATCTTTTTAGACAAATCTGACATCCTTATTCTTCAGTCATGGCAACTGTAACTACTTTTTATTTCTTAACCAAACTTTTCAGCTTCAAGTGGAGATGGATGAGACATTTGGGGGGAAAAAAAAAAAAAAAAAGGAGATTTAAAAAATCTTCCTTATATATCTTTAAAGAGATATTTCCTTTTTGATTGGAAAGGAAAGAATACAAAAGTATTTTGGAGTGTTGTGGCTTCTGAAGAGCTAGTATAAAGGCTCCAACTTCTTTTATCCAGTTGCGCAAAGAAAAAAGGAATAAATATCCTGAATCGGATACAGTGTGTTTGGTCTTTGATAACAACCCATACTGAATGGATCAGATGACCTTTTTGGGGCTGTTACAGAGTAGTCTGGCCCTAAATTTGAAATATATCTTTAAAATCTGCTTCTGACAGATTTGGCAAAGAAAAAAAAAAAAAAAGGTGCATCTTTGGACCTTTTGCAGAAAAGCTGGAAGTGCTGTGGAGCCAGAAAATTGCAAATGGGTATTTAAACTTGCATGTCTAAAGCTCTAAGCTACATAGAGAACTGGACTGTTGCAAAG